TATATATATATATATATATATATTATATATTCTATATATATATATATATATATTCAATTCATATCTAGGGTTTAGAATATTATTACATTATTTCATTGTTGTATCATTATATCATTTAATAGTATTATATTATTATCCTATTTTAATATCTTATCATATTGTTATATTATTACTGTAGTATCGTTATTATCACTATTGTCAATGATATTGGCATGTGGGCATATATTAATCTCGTGCACATACTCGTGTTTCTCTTTTGTGTCTCTTATTGTTTCTGGCTCTGATGCAGCTCTTACTTTCTCCATTAAAATATCACTGTATAAGCTTTGATCAGATCGACTTGTACGTGGGTTTGTTTCATTCTTGTTTTAGTTATATTTTTGTACATTATATAGATATACCGTTCACCTCTGTATGTGTGTGTGTGAGTGTAGGTATTCTCATCGATTGAGCCCATGACAAGGGCAAGGATGCTTTGTACACTCATCTTGAATGTTTTGGCCAGGATAACACGTACGAGAAAAAACTGCTATCCCAATCACACGTTTGCACGACAATACTCTGCGTATATAATGCACGTACCTACCCCTAAAATATATAACAGTACATACGGGTGTAGTAGCTGCCTATAATCTCACAGATACACATGTCTCTGTATGCCTGTATACGTCTCCTATCACAAGTCCATGCCTATACGTTATAACCCACTCCCCTAACCCCACGTGTGCGTCTCCTCAGCACAGCATGATCAAATCCGAAGTACAGACACACACGGGCGCACCCACTCGCCCCACTAACGCAGATGGCGTTAAAGCGTTTGAGGCGCATTTCAGGCGAAAGGGGAAGTACGCAATGGATGCCGTGTGGGTGGACCTCCCACCGTCACGAGAGGTCAATCCTGAGCTATACGATCACATGTAAGTGGTGCTTGTGATTACGTGTATGTTATGCTTATGATCACATGTAAGTGGTGCTTGTGATTACGTGCGTGCTATGCTTATGATTACATGTAAGTTGTGCTTATGGTTACGTGTGTGTGATGCTTATGATCAGATGTAAGTGGTGCTTGTGATTACGTGTATGTTATGCTTATGATCACATGTAAGTGCTGCTTGTGATCACGTGTGTGCTATGCTTATGATCACATGTCCTTAAGTGCTGCTTGTGATTACGTGTGTGTTATGCTTTTGATCTCATGTAAGTGGTGCTTGTGATTACGTGTGTGTTAGGCTTATGATCACAAATTAGTTTTGGTTGTGATTACGTGCACGTTATGCTTATGATCACATGTTAGTTGTGCTTATGATGGCATGTAGGCCATTTATTTGACGCGTGTGGTAGTCGGGGTAGTGTGAGGAGTGTCTCTGTAACCCAATGTACGCTGTGGTTATGTGAGATTGGTAACGTGGATAGGCATATACACGTGCGGGTGTGCTGAATGCGTTGCCAAGCAACCCTGTTGCACAGCAACCGTATTGTACGCATCCTTAGCCCACTTCCCCTCTCTCTCTCTCTCTCTCACACACTACCACAACGGCCGTGTATGTGTTTATGTGGATACACACATAAGTTACGTCTGTGCTGTAAAACACTCACCGCAAGTCATGCATTAGCACATTGTCCTTTGCTCTGTGACTTATCACGTGATGATGTAGGTAATGTATTCTCATATGATCATGTAGGTAATGTTCTAGCATCATAATGATGTAGGTAATGTTCTATCATATGGTGGTGTAGGTGATGTTCTATCATATGATCATGTAGGTTATGTTCTATCATATGATGATGTAGGTAATGTACTGTCATATGATGATGTAGGTATTGTTCTATCATATGATGATGTAGGTAATGTTCTATCATATGGTGGTGTAGGTGATGTTCTATCATATGATCATGTAGGACGTATTCTATCATATGATGTAGGTAATGTTCTATCATGTGAAGATGTATGTACTGTCGTATCACGTGTTCATGTAAGTAATTTTCTATCACGTGTTCATGTAGGTAATTTTCTTTCACATCACTCCTTCGACTGTGATGCGTGTAGCCTCCGCTGCTTGGTGTCTTATACATTCAGTTGTATGAAGTCAGTACTTGTTTTTTCTCGCCGTGTCTATTTTTTACAATAAACGCCAGAACAGACAATATTGCCCATCTTCATCTCCATCTCCATACCTAGGGTTTAGGGTTTATACCTACCCACTTGGAAACCGTTCGAAAAGTCATGTATGTATGTTCAACGGCGTATCTCAGAATCAAATCAGCTGTTGTGTGTCTTTGATACCACCCATCACATCCTCGTCCGTATAGGGTTTTAGGGTTTAGGGTTTATTTAAAACCCCTTGGCCATCAATGCCTGCACTGACCGTCCCCATTCTGTCGCACAGGATTGCGTTCTGGCGAGAGAATCTTGAGATGTCGGCTGCCTATGGACCAGGCTCTCGTTTTGTTGTGAATCTGGAGCTATTCAGAGACGTCCGGTGGAACGGCACCACCTACTGGGATGAAAACCTGGGGCGCATTCTGGTACATGTGTGTGTTTAGGGTTTAGGTTGTGTGTGTTTAGGGTTTAGGTTGTGTGTGTTTAGGGTTTAGGGTGTGTGTGTTCAGGGTTTAGGGTGTGTGTGTTTAGGGTTCAGGGTGTGTGTTTAGGGTTTAAGGGCTTGTTGGGTTTTGGTTATTCTGTTCGTTTGGTTTCATTGTTTATGTCAGGCCATCTTGTGTGTGCATTGGTTGGTGTCGTGGCCCTATCCCGAGGAAAATGGGTTTTGGTCAGCAATCACAGCGGTGCTCCCAATGCCAAAGTTGAGTTTGACGATTGCGGCAACAGCGCTAAGACTTTCGTGCGTAGGTAAGAAGAGCTTCTCCCACGCAGCCATTCTCATCATTCACTGTTGTCAATGGCAACGGTTCAAGTGGTGCACTATAAATGCAGTGTCCAAGTACACTCTAACATTCACCCATACAGTAGATAAGAATGTTAAACCCTAAAGCCTATGACAATAGAACTATATCTACTGTATCTACATTAGGTAAGAACGTCAAACCCTAAACTCTATGACAATAGATCTATGTCAACTGTATCTACCGTAGATAAGAACGTTAGTGCCAGCCACCCTGGCGTGTGCACAGGCGTTGTGCTCATTCGCTAGACACTTGATAACTCTCTTCTGCTTTGTTGCGTTACCTAATACGACTCCCTTCCACGGCCGTCCACCCAGACTCGCCAGTGTGTACGTTATCCTCCTAGCACTGAAAAGCGTTAGTAATACGTATATGTAATACGTATATGCATTACATATATACCCCATTGTAAGTATTCCAGTCTACTCTTGCATATCTCAAACACCCCTCTAATTGCCCCCACCCCCCACCCCCCCCCTCCCCTCCTCTCTCTCTCTCCTTCGCAGTTGGAGCTGCTGTCTAGTCCCACTGACTCCGCCAAGCTAGTGCGCCGAGACGATGTGCTGCGAGGCACAGGTGTGGGGGCGTATCTGCTGTCTGTGATGAAGTGGTTGGCGTCGGGTGTGTGGGGTGTGGACCCACAGACGCTGCTGAGCGATGGCCAGCAGTATGTGCTGCTCGAGGCTCTGAAGGTAAGGTGTGTGTTGCTGTGCCTGTGTGGTGTGTGTGTTGCCGTGCCTGTGCGTTGTGTGTGTTGCTGTGCCTGTGTGGTGTGTGTGGTGAGGGGTGTCTGGCATATCTGGGATGCCAGACGGTGTTTCTATTGGTTGATCATTTATAGCTGGGATGTGATTGGCTATAGTCTCTTGGTGTCTGCCTGCGCAAATTAGAATGGGCTGTGTGTGAATATTGTGCGACGTCGCACGTCACCTGCGCAATTGCTGAGTGCAGCTGAGGCCGTCTGATGCGAATACTCCTTCGCTGGCGCTTTAGTGTAGGTAGGCAGGGCCACTGCCTACCTACACTGCTTACCTACCATACAAATACGTTCCGCAGGTATTAGTCAGAGGCAGTGTCCGTTCAGCATGGATATAATGTCTGTCGTGTGGTAAGCGCTCGGAGTACACAAGGTGGTTGCTATGCTGGGTTAAATAGGTGGTTGCTATGCTGTGTTGAACAGATGGTTGCTATGCGACGAGCGTAGTACGTCACTTTACTGCGTTGGTGTGTGTGGTAGACTGGAGTATCTCACCAGCCTGCTTCTGTGGTGGTAGATGTATAGACACTCAGTTCACATGGAGTCAGTTACTCTGGGCCTGCCCTCCGTTGGTACAACGAATGGCGGCAGACGGAAGACACGACTTACAGCTCTTGCATCGCATATGTGGCACACTACTTTAACCCCACACACCCAAACCCTTATACAAACAGGATACTGTTTAGGGTTTTAGTTTTTAGGGTTTAGGGTTTAGTGGTTGTCGGGTGTATCACGGCATGACAGTACTTACTCCTTCTGGAACGGAGGTTCACAGACGCCAGTGAGAGTGAAAGACCACTCCACTACTATCACCAACCATCAGGACATCCAGCCCATTTCATTAGTACTTACACTCCACCACAACTCAGCCGACATACTATCTATCCACTTACCTACCTACCTACCTACCTACCTACACGCACACAGACAGAGGCACACGCACTGTACCAACAGAGGAAGTACATGGAGGGAGGGCAGCTGTGTACACTCACCCAACTGGCAGTAGAAGAACACTACACCACAGACGATCTGAGGCTAATGCTAGCGCAGCTGCAGACAGAGGGACTCTGCGTCACCACCACCGCGCACGACCAGGCCGTGGCTAAGTTTGCGACGGAGGAAGGTGGGCCAGGGTTATAGGGTTTAGGGTTTAAAGTTTTGGGGAGTGGAGGTAGATGTGTGGTATGTTGTGTATCCATGGTTACGGTGTATCCATGGTTACGCAGAGTGTTGGGTGGTGTGTATGTGTGTCGTATCGGTAGCTCAGCGCTGCGTTTGAAACACTGAAGGCGCCACTCAAGTGACTGTCCAACCGAACAAGATACACACATCACACAACTGTGGCCCATTATGACATGACATGACATGCTTTAATACGCACATGCACACAGAACTGACACCTTCGTGTATGCGCTTGCAGAGCCCATCCCACGCATAACCGAGAGAGACACACGCATTGTGCAGCTGCGGTGGTCGATTGGTATGGAGGACGACTACATCGCACAACTGGATGAAGACATAGAGAAAGACAACGCAGAGCTCAAGACACTTGTGCAGAGGAAAGCGGTAGGTAGCTCTACCTACATGCCATGCATCTTACCTACCATAGCCTTTTCACACTCGCCCTGCTCACTCTAAGACTTTCACATACACCCTACTCACTCTATTATATTCACACACACCCTACTCACTCTATTACATTCACATACACTCTACTCACTCTATTACATTCACATACACCCTACTCACTCTATTACATTCACACACCCTACTCACTATTACATTCACATACACTCTACTCATTCTATTACATTCACATATACCCTACTCACTCTATTACATTCACATACACTCTACTCACTTTATTACATTCACATACACCCTACTCACTCTATGACATGTCTCGTTACATTCCACCGTAGCAGATCCAGTTGAATAGCCGCACGTGTGCACATGACATCTATTCCCTTTGTGGTACACATCGTCCTTCCCGTCTGTTTCTGTGTTGTACATTGGAACGGTTTACAGTCTGGTTAGGGTTTTACTAAACCCTACAACCTAAACCCTAAACCCTAAAATCGTCGTATCTCGAAAGCATTGTACTAGTCATCTATAGATTGTAACTCCTCTGCTCAGCCGAATGTATCTGCAACTATCTATCTATCATCGTTTTATCAACAGAACACTTGACAGTCCAAAGTCATCAGAAGCCTGATGAAAAGTGCGGTTTATACTGACAGCAGATAGCATGTTGTATCACATATACGCACAGGACTACATTCATCCATAACCTGTGAATGTAGGATACGTGCGCAATATTACGTTAGTGAGAACCTACCACAATGCCGATAGAAGCACACACGTACAATCATAGTACAGTGCATATAAACAATGATAATTTGTGAGTGTTTATTTACAATATATATATATATATATATATATATATATATATATATATATATATATATATATATATATATATATATATATATATATATATATATATATATATATATATATATATATATATATA